TGAGGTACATGTAACATTTTTTAATTCATAAAGGCTGAACATTTTGCAGCGTAATGAAGTTATAGGTTAGCATGATGTACACAAGAAATTCTTTTCAAGATACATAATTATATGAATAATGAAACATGCCTTGATAGCAATTTCTGACAAGAATTGTACCAAAATATATCCATTCAGTTAGCCAACAAAGGTTTTAACTTCACCTCTTAGTTGAAAGTTACCAAACTATTAGGTGCAACAGTGATAGATTGTCATCAGAAAAGAAACACACATTGCCATGGAAGTTTTTTCAATAACAGCCTTTTAGATTGTTAAAAATGATTTACGGTACACCATGTGATTCAACAATGAACCTTGAGCTGAAGCCAAACAGACAACTGGTCATGAATTACTTAGGCAAGTTTCCCTTCTATAACTTTTTCAAACACTACCATATGCTGATATCCCACATTATTTTCCACCATTTCTGATTTCTCAATTTGGCTTTATATCTTGGACAAAGTACTTTATCCAGCTGTGCAAGTTGAATGAACAATAGATATCGCAAGCATTTCAGCACACAAATCCAAAAGCCTCAAGTGTCCCTTGATTCATAAAGCAGCTATAGTGGTGATCTCTGCCTGGGGTTTATCACACCGAAAAAAAACCCAAAGAGTAAATTACAGCTTTTACATTGTGAATTTCTTATTAAAATGTTAACAAATTCTTCAATTCAAAATACATTTTTTTTTCAACAATATCAAGATCCTTTCCAAAGACAAAGAATTGAAGGTAACGCACAAAAAAAGGTCACAATTACATAACAATAACTAGCATTACAATTACCTAATATTTAGAAATCATAAATTATCTGATTAAATATGAACACATAACAAAACGTGACATTCAGAAAATGTTTTCATAAGGATGTCTTGTAGAAAAAATATTAACTGCCATCACAAGCCTGATATGGTGCACAATTTTAGCTTTTTAAGTGATGTGTTGGTGGGTTATGGGAATATTACTTGTTTTACAAAGATTACTGTAATAGATACCTGAACATGGAAACTGGAGATGCATTTTTATTATTAAACCATGAACAAGTAATAGATAACTAGAAGTTATAAGTTTTAATTACCATTATTAACACCTATTTAAACTCACTAATGTTTGCTACAACAGCCATAGTTTCTACCTGGCGAATGTACAAAGCAAAATTACTTTTTCATAATTTTACGAATCAAACAAGTTGACATAGCAGTGAAGAAGTTCCTTTTCAAAACTGAACTACAAAACCAAACAAATAAAGTAGGGAAGTGCACGTGCGTTTTGAAGGATGGGATCATGCGCAAAAGAGTTTAGTACATGTGGGTATTTGTTAAATTGGGATCAAAGTATATTTGCAGGCAACCGCACTCACTTTTTTGCTGATGACATTGGTGGTACTAAGGCATCACTACTCGCTGTGTTTCTGCTCAGGCATACCTAAGGTACTGCCAAAGGATCCCCCGGCTGTGGTCATTGTCGGCAAGTGGCTTGTGGTGGGGTACTGTGTCACACTACCTTGTACTTGCATACCCATAGGTGGCAGTTGTGTCTGCATCGGTAACATCCCCTGTACAGGAAAAGGCGCAAAGGATGAGAAGTTGCCCAGTGGAAGAACCCCTGGCATCTGCACACCAGGACCTTGCATCCCCGCCCCAGAGGGTTGCATCCCATGTGGTAAATAGTACATTGGCTGCTGCACAGCTGACATCATCATATTAGGCTGAGAGTACATGAAGGGCATGGAGGGAACATGAGGGGCTGTTGCTGCGCTCATTGACCCTACATTTCAGGTTGGGACTGGCTGGTATTAGGAAGAGAGAAGGCTGCATTTGTGAGGCATGTATCTGAGTGGCCTGTAACTGAGAGGCCTGCAACTGAGCGGCCTGCAACTGAGAGGCCTGCAACTGAGAGGCATGTATCTGAGTAGCCTGTAACTGAGATGCATGCAACTGAGAGGCCTGCATCTGAGCGGCCTGCAACTGAGAGGCCTGCATCTGAGAGGCCTGCAATTGAGCTTGCTGCATCTGAGCGGGCTGCATCTGAGCGGCCTGCAACTGAGACGCTTGCATCTGTTGACGAAGAAGTCGCATTTCTTCCTGTTGCTGTATGATAATCCTTTGCAGCTCTGCAGTATCTAGCGTTGTTACATTTTTGGTACTGGGAGAAGCATCAGTGACTGGTTTATGAGACAATTCAGCAACTGACGCAATCTTTTGGTGCATTTTTGGACTGGTTCGTGGGCTTAACTGCTTCAGTTTTGCCCCATTTTTTCTGGGATGGCTTTTTTGTGGAAGGATACATCTGTCAATCTCAGAGTGGGATGCAATATCAGAAAAACCAGAATCTAAACGACCACTGATGTTCTGTCTTCTCAGAGTTTCATCTTCAGAGAGGCCTTCCGATGAACTTTCTGAATGCCTGTCAAGATCCCCACTGACCGGTCTTCGAACATGTGTTTTCCGTTTAACCTTTCGAATAACTCTTTGCTGAACTGGAGATTGCTTCACTGTTTTATCCAAGTTGAATTTGTTTTTTTCATCTTCATTTTTCATTACAAGTCCTTCATTCAAGCTGCCCTGGGAAACTGATTGGACTGCATGCTGGATATCAGATTTATTAGGCAACAATTCAAATATTTCCCAACTCTTGTCAATGTTTGGTGTGGATTTTGAATGACGTCTGTGTTCTCGGATTTTAGATGACTCTTCAAATCCTCTTCGCTGTACTCTCGTATCATCACTGAATGTCTGAGCACTTGTGAATGATGCTTGGAATGCTTTCGCAGCCTTCATTTTAGCAAGAATAGTTCTGGTTCTTTCACGGACTTCTTTATGCCGTCTCATGTGTGCTTCCTCATCTCCAACTTCAGTTTCTTGCTTAGAGGTCTCTTTTTCTTTGGTTCCCTGTGAACAAATTTTGTGTTCCTCTTCAAATATAGATTGCATACCGCTGTCTGGTACCTCAGTTTTGTTGTATTTATTCTGCTCTGCTGTAAGCTCAGTTGAAATGATTGCTGATGGTGATTCTTCAATAGGATTTTCACCTGACCGTTCCAATGTAGATTTCCTTATGACTAAATCAACATCCATTGTTTCCTTTTTGTGTTCCTTCTGCTTGCAGTTCCGACTTGGATCTTGTAATTCTAGCATCCGTGGCATCATTTGTGTTTTCTCAAGGACATGCATGTCTTTATCTTCAACCTTGACATGCTGAACAACTTGTGTATCTTGACAACTGACTCCCCCTGCACAGGCTTATCTTGTTCTCTTTCACAATTTTCCCTGTTACTTCATAATCATCCACAACTGAACTCTTTTTCCTCGCTCGCTTCTCCTTCCAGGAACTTACACTTTCAATTATTGGGAAACTATCATCTTCTGCATTCTTTTTGACTGGTACCTCTTCCTTTTTGGGGGTGCCCTATCTGTGGACTTCCTCCATGTCAATGCTTTACTCTGATACATTACTCGTCCAACACCTGCAAAAGTTGGGGATGCTTGATTTACTGTTGATTGGTTGGGCTTTGTTGGCTTTGGTGAGATTTGTATGGATTCAGTGCTTTCACTGGGGGTTGACTCATCATTTGGTCCTGCTCTGTGATTGCAATCTTATCAGGAGGAGTAACTTTCCTCAATTTAGTTTGTACTTTTACAAACTCTGGGCTTTCTTTGTCATCTGAATCAGTTGAACAAACAAACTTTGGTTCAGCTTGCACCTGTTTGGACCTTTCCACTGGCACTTTGTTCATTGTCTGCTCCGAGACCGATATCTTGCCAGAAGGATTAACTCTCCTTAATTTAGTCTGGGCTTTGAGGAACTTGAGGATTTCCTTATCTGAACCACCTGAGATTTGTGCTGTTTTATTTTCCGGAACTTGTTTTCTTGGCTTATCTGATGGGTTCTGATTATTTTCCTTGGACATTACACCACCAAATCTTTTCCGTACTGCTTTCACAACACTCAAGGAAGCTAGTTTTTCAAGTTCATCTTTAGGCTCTGCTCTTTCAAATTCAAAGTGCTTTTCTTGGTGTTCCCCATCTGGTTCATCTCTGTGTATTGCTTCGTTCCACTCTTCTGCACCAATGATTTGGACCGTGACAAAGCACGAAATGTTTTAGATACTGAATTATTACCATTATGATGTAAGGAATTTGACCTTGTTAAAGGCTTACTGTCCGTTTCTATTTTGGGCACTTTTTCTGTATTGGCATTTTGATCTACACATTTTTCAGCAAAAACTGTTTCTTGGATACCTTTCATTTTAGGAGTGGTCAATCCAATTCCTAAAGAATCAACTGGCACATATTCACTGACCAAAATTCTTGAGGAAGCCTTCCTTTGATTGGGGTCCTTCTGCATTGTTTCATGCTGTTCTGCAACTACTGCTGTATCTCCTGCTACCAAAGACATCCTTATTCCATCAGAATCTGTATCAATCTTTTGTTTTTCCCGACTTCTTTTCAAATTGTGGTCCACTGGGGTTTGGGTATTTTCTGAAGAGACTTTTTTGCAGTCATGAGAATGCTCCTCTGCAGATGACAAATTCTCAACTGCTACTTTGTCCATATCTACAAATGATATAGTATGTCCCATTTCCTTCCTAGTTGATCCACTGCAACTGTCAAAGTCTTCTTTACATTCATCTCCATCAGTCTTTTTCTCTGAATGTGTTATAGAAATTGACTTGACAGGAAGATCAACTCCCATCATTCTTGCCATGGATTTTTTAAGGAGTGCCTTAATTTCAGATGACCTTTCATGATTTGATGAAATAGCCTCTTTCGCCATTCGTCTCACTATTGAAAAATCAGGGATGGCTGCATCTTCTTTGCACGAAGAGAAATCTGTATTTGTGTGCTGTGTGTACAATAGTTGCTTTTCTTCCACACAACTGTTTTGGGGTTTTATAGTTGCTGAGTTTTCAGGAGCACTCATGGAATCACTGTCAGATTTTTGTGCTTTATCTGAATCCTCTAAAATTGGTGCCTCTTCACAAGCAGATTGTTAGGCTTCGTCTGCAAAGGCTTGGTGTCTGAGGCAGAAATGCTTGCTTGTGGATCACTAGGTGCTAAACTAGGAACACTGGTTGCACGTTGACTTTGGAGTTGGATGTTTTCTGAAGACTTGTTATCGCAAGCCACTTCAATGTCATACTGCGATTCTGCAGTTTGCATGTGTGGTGCAAACATGAAGTCTGAATCAAACAGATAAATTTGCTTAAACTTTGTCATCTGTTCTTCCTCCGTCAATGACAGTTCAAACTGCTTCTCAGAATTTCCAAGATTTTCTTCACAGGTTTTGTTGGATTGTTTTGAATCAGACCTTTGGTTGGATAAGGTTGCAGTCTCTGGCAGGGATTGGTTTGAAATTGATGTTTCCTGCACAGTATTTACACAATATTTATCTACAATCTCTTCAACCCAGAAAAGAGACTCCTTTTCATCCACCTCTTCTTCTAGAATACTGGGCGATGCCGAACGCTTTGGTTTAGGAGGGGGAGCCCCTTGTGGAAGTGGCAACACCTTAACAGCTTCTGCTATTGTGCCTAGGTCTTCAATACTTGAATACATGATTCCATGCTCAGCTAAAAGGCCAGAAGTGGAACGGTTAGACATCTGGGATAATAGTGGACCCTTAGGTACTTCCAATGAAGCAGCTCTGATATGAGACTCTTGTCTGTGGGAGTGCATATCTGGAAGTGAAACAGCACTATACCTTTTGTCGAATGATTGAATTGGTAGGGTGGGAGCAAAAACTTTTCTACAGTGGGTTGGAGGTGTTCCTATTGAAGATGAAGATGAAAATGATTTCAAAGAATATTCCGATCCTGGAGACCCAGGGACACTACCTTTGAATAAATGTTCTTGAGGTGCAACTTTTAAGATTGTGGGGGTGGAGCTGCCCGTTTTTTGGTAGACTTTGAAGAAGTTGAAGATGTACTATCAACGGAAGCCCTAGGCCTTGGCAGAAATTCTGCAGGGGAGTATGTTACAGGACTGCTACTGCTAACAGACATATCTACACTGCCAGTACTTTCCGCCGAGACACTTTCATATCTACCGACTCTTATTGGTGGAGACATATCCTTGGTTTCTTGTAGCATTTCTGTGCCTTTCTTTGTCTTTTCTTCCCGAACAGCTTGCCTAATGTTCCCACCTTGCCCTCCCTCTGGCTCTCAGATTTTGACAGTGTTTTCTGTTGTGTGTGACGTGCATGCAGACTGTCACTCCTGTTGGACGGCATGCGGTTAACGTCATTTACTGTTTCAGTGAGTAGTGATAGAATATGCAAGAAAAACATAAAAGCAAGCAGGTTTATCTAAATTGCATAGTAACAGCAGATCATGCAAGTGATAACATTTAACAGAAATCATGCAATCACACAGCTTCTGAAAGGGATTTTTTTTCACAGCAAAATGTAATGTGCAAGAACAGCAAATCAAAGCAAAAGTGGATTGTTGAGTTTTTCTTAAAAAACAACTTTTTATCCCTTCTCCAAAATGACTGATAAGTACTGTGTGATCAAATGATAGACTGACCTTAAGTCCAAGTTGATTTAAATGCTGGTTATTAGTGTGCACCATTTGGAGAAGGCACAAATAGTTGTTTTATCAGCAAACTCAGCAATGCATGCAGGGCAAAACACCATTGAGGAATTACTGTTCATACCTTTCGACCTTTAAAAGCTGCATAGGGTTATCGTGTGAATCTATGCTACTTGTGTTCCTAGTAGCACAAAATCAAGAAATCATAGAAGGAATCATTTGAATGAAAAACTGTAAATCTCACTATCCCATTTCATTTGACGTCAACATGCAATCACTTTTTGTTCTCAGTCTCATATTTTTTACACATGGAATCTTAAAATCTTGAGATAGAGCAATCTTGAAAACTTCTAACACTGATGACCAACTATTATGTTAGCACTTTGCCTAACATAGTATTATTTTCATCAGCTTCATTTAAATATTACAATTTGCAAAAACAGATCAGAGGAAAAAGGTATTGTGAATGTTAAAGTTGGGAGTTTGTTTTTAAATTGTCGGAATGATTAAACTTATGTGAGATAACAAATGACTTCCTATCTTGATCACCAAGACAACCTTTTGAAGTCAGAATAACTACCTTTTATGCAGTTGATTGCAAAATAAAAAAAAGCACAAACTACAAAAACATTGCAAGCTATATAATTATGCAAATTATTTGTTACACTTGTTCCCTCAGTAAAGAAAATGCTGTATGCTCCAGCTGAATAAATCTACATGCTATTAAGAATAAAGCTGCAAAGTTCCTTAAAATGCACCAGGTTAATGGCATACATTCAGTTTTAGCATTTTGCAAATGTCTTTACTAATTTGTCCCATTGTTAAACTTTACTCACCATCAGATCTACTGGAGTGCAAACTGTCTACTCCATGGAGTCCTACTTCATCAGCAGTGTCTTCGTCTGGTATTTGAACAATGGTTTGTCGACCTTTGCGGCTGAAAAACTTCCCCAAAGACTTCTTTCCTTTGGAGTGGGAATGTTCTTTGGCATATGCAGCTGAATCATCAGCATCATCTCCATTTGCATTATTGTTCACATTGAGTTCCATGTCGTCGTGTCTTGTTTCAATTGTTTGTGTACCATCAGTCTGCGTATTGTTGTTGTTATTTGAATTGGGGTTATCAGAGTCACTGGAGTCTTTTTTGCCAAATCCAAATGTTGACATTATTCTGGAGCCAATACCTTCATCAGAGTCAGAAGATGAACTGGAGCTAGAGCTGGAGCTAGAAGTAGAATCTCTGGACAGGCCTATTGACCCAAAGAATCCTTTCTTTTCCTTCTTTTTCTTCTTTGGACGAGCCTTTGATTCTGTTTTAACATCAACGTCAGCTTTGCCTGCTAATGAGCCCGACATTTCTGGCAGTTTAACAGAAAGTCCTCCAGAAGCAGCTTTGTCAACGTCAACTTCTCCACCATCCCCGCCCACTACTCCGATGTCTGCACTTGGTACATCTACTGAAACAGCACCATCGACTGATGATCCCTCATGATCCTTTTTCTTCTTTCCTTTTCCTCTTTTCTTCCGCTTTTTACCATCAGTTTTAGTACTAGCAGAACCTGTTACTTCAGGTAGGCCCAATTTGGCTCCACCAGATAAGCCAACACCAACATCACCACTAATATCGCCAGCTGTGCCTCCCATTCCAATTCCATCCAGGCCGCCCATTGACATGTCGGGTTTTGTTGTACCAACATCAATGTCAACATCTGCTCCGAGACCACTGCCAATATCAGGGCCACCAGTCAAAATGCCACCGATCTCTCCACTTAATGAACCCTCTGGTTTAGCTGCTTTGACATTCATGTCAACTTCAGGCTTAATATCATCGCTGCCAAACTCCCCACTGACATCAAATTTTCCATTTCCGATTCCACCAATATCTCCCTTGTGGTCTCCACTAAAGCCAAGGCCTACATCAATCCCTCCACCTGCAGAGAATGAGGTATCTGGTTTGGGTATTGCAGTATCCACATCAATTTTTCCATCTCCGATGCCATCAAAGCCTCCAGCAATACCACCTCCAAGGCCTCTGCCAACAAAACCTCCAGCTGATGCGTTGGCTTTTGGTTTGACTGCTTTTACGCTGTCATCAACCTTAGGTGTAACCATATCTAGGTCACCTCCAAAATCTTTACCAAATCCCTCACCAGCCAAGGCCAGACCTCCACCTACAGAAAATGAGCCATCTGGTTTTGGTGCTTTAGTTTCAATGTCAATATCTCCACCCCCAAAGCTACCACCTGCACCATCACCAATGCCTCCACCAAAATTGCCACTAATGCCATCTCCACTTACATCAGGACCACTAACAGAGAGAGAACCTTCTGGGTTGGGTGCTGTAACATCAACTTTGTATCTCCAATTCCACCAAGACCTCCAAATCCCCCACCAATTCCTCCACCTATTGACAGTGAACCATCTGGTTTAGGTGCCGAGACATCAACATCAACTTTTCCATCTCCAATTCCACCAAGGCCTCCCAATCCCCCACCAATTCCTCCACCTATTGACAGTGAACCATCTGGTTTAGGTGCTGAGACATCAACATCAACTTTTCCATCTCCAATTCCACCAAGGCCTCCAAATCCCCCACCGATTCCTCCACCTGCTGACAGTGAGCCATCTGGTTTAGGTGCTGAGACATCAACATCAACTTTTCCATCTCCAATTCCACCAAGGCCTCCAAATCCCCCACCGATTCTCCACCTGCTGACAGTGAGCCATCTGGTTTAGGTGCTGAGACATCAACATCAACTTTTCCATCTCCAATTCCACCAAGGCCTCCAAATCCTCCACCAAATCCTCCACCTGCTGACAGTGAGCCATCTGGTTTAGGTGCTGAGACATCAACATCAACTTTTCCATCTCCAATTCCACCAAGGCCTCCAAATCCCCCATCAATTCCTCCACCTATTGACAGTGAGCCATCTGGTTTAGGAGCTGAGACATCAACATCAACTTTTCCATCTCCAATTCCACCAAGGCCTCCAAATCCCCCACCGATTCCTCCACCTGCTGGCAGTGAACCATCTGGTTTAGGTGCTGAGACATCAACATCAACTTTTCCATCTCCAATTCCACCAAGGCCTCCAAATCCCCCACCAAATCCTCCACCTGCTGACAGTGAGCCATCTGGTTTAGGTGCTGAGACATCAACATCAACTTTTCCATCTCCAATTCCACCAAGGCCTCCAAATCCCCCACCAATTCCTCCACCTATTGACAGTGAGCCATCTGGTTTAGGAGCTGAGACATCAACATCAACTTTTCCATCTCCAATTCCACCAAGACCTCCAAATCCCCCACCAATTCCTCCACCTATTGACAGTGAGCCATCTGGTTTAGGAGCTGAGACATCAACATCAACTTTTCCATCTCCAATTCCACCAAGGCCTCCAAATCCCCCACCAATTCCACCACCTGCTGACAGTGAGCCATCTGGTTTAGGTGCTGAGACATCAACATCAACTTTTCCATCTCCAATTCCACCAAGGCCTCCAAATCCCCCACCGATTCCTCCACCTGCTGACAGTGAGCCATCTGGTTTAGGTGCTGAGACATCAACATCAACTTTTCCATCTCCAATTCCACCAAGGCCTCCAATTCCACCAAGGCCTCCAAATCCCCCACCAATTCCTCCACCTGCTGACAGTGAGCCATCTGGTTTAGGTGCTGAGACATCAACATCAACTTTTCCATCTCCAATATCACCAAGGCCTCCAAATCCCCCACCAATTCCTCCACCTGCTGACAGTGAGCCATCTGGTTTAGGTGCTGAGACATCAACATCAACTTTTCCATCTCCAATTCCACCAAGGCCTCCAAATCCCCCACCAAGGCCTCCCAATACCCCACCAATTCCTCCACCTGCTGACAGGGAGCCATCTGGTTTAGGTGCTGAGACATCAACATCAACTTTTCCATCTCCAATTCCACCAAGGCCTCCAAATCCCCCACCAAGGCCTCCAAATCCCCCACCAATTCCTCCACCTGCTGACAGTGAGCCATCTGGTTTAGGTGCTGAGACATCAACATCAACTTTTCCATCTCCAATTCCACCAAGGCCTCCAAATGCCCCACCAATTCCTCCACCTATTGACAGTGAGCTATCTGGTTTAGGTGCTGAGACATCAACATCCACTTTTCCATCTCCAATTCCACCAAAGCCTCCAAATCCCCCACCAATTCCTCCACCTGCTGACAGTGAGCCATCTGGTTTAGGAGCTGAGACATCAACATCAACTTTTCCATCTCCAATTCCACCAAGACCTCCAAATCCCCCACCAATTCCTCCACCTATTGACAGTGAGCCATCTGGTTTAGGAGCTGAGACATCAACATCAACTTTTCCATCTCCAATTCCACCAAGGCCTCCAAATCCCCCACCTGCTGACAGTGAGCCATCTGGTTTAGGTGCTGAGACATCAACATCAACTTTTCCATCTCCAATTCCACCAAGGCCTCCAAATCCCCACCAAGGCCTCCACCTATTGACAGTGAGCCATCTGGTTTAGGTGCTGAGACATCAACATCAACTTTTCCATCTCCAATTCCACCAAGGCCTCCAAATCCCCCACCAATTCCTCCACCTGCTGACAGTGAGCCATCTGGTTTAGGAGCTGAGACATCAACATCAACTTTTCCATCTCCAATTCCACCAAGGCCTCCAAATCCCCCACCAAGGCCTCCACCTATTGACAGTGAGCCATCTGGTTTAGGTGCTGAGACATCAACATCAACTTTCCATCTCCAATTCCACCAAGGCCTCCAAATCCCCCACCAATTCCTCCACCTGCTGACAGTGAGCCATCTGGTTTAGGAGCTGAGACATCAACATCAACTTTTCCATCTCCGATTCCACCAAGGCCTCCAAATCCACCACCAAGGCCTCCACCTATTGACAGTGAGCCATCTGGTTTAGGTGCTGAGACATCAACATCAACTTTTCCATCTCCAATTCCACCCAGGCCTCCAAATCCCCCACCAATTCCTCCACCTGCTGACAATGAGCCATCTGGTTTAGGTGCTGAGACATCAACATCAACTTGTCCATCTCCAATTCCACCAAGGCCTCCAAATCCCCCACCAAGGCCTCCACCTGCTGACAGTGAGCCATCTGGTTTAGGTGCTGAGACATCAACATCAACTTTTCCATCTCCAATTCCACCAAGGCCTCCAAATGCCCCACCAATTCCTCCACCTGCTGACAGTGAGCCATCTGGTTTAGGTGCTGAGACATCAACATCAACTTTTCCATCTCCAATTCCACCAGGCCTCCAAATCCCCCACCAATTCCACCACCTATCGAGAGTGAGCCATCTGGTTTAGGTGCTGAGACATCAACATCAACTTTTCCATCTCCAATTCCACCAAGACCTCCAAATCCCCCACCAATTCCTCCACCTGCAGACAGTGAGCCATCTGGTTTAGGAGCTGAGACATCAACATCAACGTTTCCATCTCCAATTCCACCAAGGCCTCCAAAACCCCCACCAATTCCTCCACCTATTGACAGTGAGCCATCTGGTTTAGGTGCTGAGACATCAACATCAACTTTTCCATCTCCAATTCCACCCAGGCCTCCAAATCCCCCACCAATTCCTCCACCTATTGACAGTGAGCCATCTGGTTTAGGTGCTGAGACATCAACATCAACGTTTCCATCTCCAATTCCACCAAGGCCTCCAAATCCCCACCAATTCCTCCACCTGCTGACAGTGAGCCATCTGGTTTTGGTGCTGAGACATCAACATCAACTTTTCCATCTCCAATTCCACCAAGGCCTCCGAATCCCCCACCAAATCCACCTGCTGACAGTGAGCCATCTGGTTTAGGTGCTGAGACATCAACATCAACTTTTCCATCTCCATTCTATCTAGGGCTCCAACACCAGCACCAATTCCTCCTCCACCTACTGACAGCGAACCATCTGATTTAGGTGCCGACACATCAACATCACCACTGATGTCAATTCCTCCTTCTGCAGAACCAGTCTTTTAGCCTTGCCTGAAAATCCAAAACTGGGCAATTTGACTTTGAACCCCCCTTTCCCTTCATGGTCTGATTCTGAAGAACTGGAACTGCTGCTTGATTTCCCATCCTTTTTACCTCGAAATCCAAAACCAAAGCCTCCCTTTTTTTTTCCTTTTGGCTTTTTAGGTTTTCCCTTTTTGCCAAGATTCAAACCAACATCTGGAACTTCTCCCATTTCACCACTTCCAGCACTTAGGTCTATTCCTCCACCTACAGAAAGGGAAGCATCTGGTTGTGGTGCTGTAACATCTGCATCAATTTTTCCATCTCCATTAATATCTCCACCAATGCCTCCACCGCCAGAGAATGACCCATCAAGTTTGGGAGCTGCAACATCCAGGTCAACTGTGAAGTCTCCAACTCCTGCAAGGTGACCACCACTAATATCTCCACTTGGTTTTGCAGCCTTTGCTTCAATGTCAACTTTGGGAGTAACAATATCACTACCTGCACTCACATCCATTTCTTCCTTTTTACCGCCTAAACCTAATCCAAATTTGCCCTTCTTTTTCTTTGGGCTGCCTTTACCCTTGACGTTTATACTTCCAGATGCCTTTGGGGGTGATACATCAATGTTTACATCAACATCTCCCGAAGCTTTATGCTTTGACTTGCCAAAGTGTATAGATGGCAGGCCAAAGCTGCCCCTTTTCCCAGAACCTCTCTTTTTATCTCCTCTGTGCAGTTTAGCGTCAGCTGTGGCATCAAAGTCTGTCTGGACTTTTGGTCCACTTGGTTGATCTACCGAAATGCCAGCTTCTGGTTTTGCTAGCTCAAAATCCCCATTGAGAGACAAGTCAGCACTACCACCCGTCGGCTTGAATTTTCCTTCTGCACCAACATCGATGTCCCCGCTGTGACTAAGGTCATAGTCTCCTTTGCCTCCTTTCATCTTTGGTAATCCAAACGATGGCATGTGAAACCCCCTTTTCTTTTTTCCGGATCCTTACCCTTTCCGTCAAATCCAATTGCACCATCAATTTCAGTATCAACAGATGCATCAGGGCTATCGACAAACATTTTACCACTCGGCAGATCAACTGAAACATTACCTTCAGGTTTCGAAGCCTTAACATCAACATCTAAAGCCTTTGTCACTCCTCCAAGATCTGGTCCTTCAATACCAATTGAGCCCTTCGGTAGCTTCATATCCACATCTGCATCTCCTTTGGGGAGATCAATGCCACCAGAGACTCCAATACCTATGTCAGCACCAACCTTCACATCAGCATCTGGGCCGTCAATGTCACCTGATATATCTGGTCCTTTCAGTTTTGCACCAACACCTCCTTTCACTTTTGGGCCTTTGATACCACCTTTCAGGCCAAAGCCTGCCTTGCCATCATCTGATTCAGAATCGCTTGAGCTGCTGGTTCCATCTCCCTTTCCTTTAAAGCCAAAGCCAAATGAGGGCAAGTGAAATCCTCCACCTGCTTTCTTTTTTGGACTTTTTTTCTTGCCCCCAACAGACAAATTGACATCCACGTCAGGGGCATCAACACTTCCTCCAAAAGATGCATCTGGACCTTTACCTGACAGGTCCATGTCTGGTTTAGATGCTTTACCATCAACCTCGACACCAACACCACCTCCAATCTTTGGCCCTTCAACAGAAATTGAGCCATCTCCTTCAGGCAGCTCCACCTTTCCTCCTGCTCCCCCACTGACATCCACATCTATGTCAGGACCAAACACTTTGGACCTTCCATGTCCCCTTCAATTTGAAGTCCTCCATCCAAGTCAACATCACCATGCCCCTTGCCTTTACCTTTGGAAAGTGTATGGAGGGCATATTAAGTGAGGGCATGTGGAATTTCCCCTTTTTCTTGCCAGATCCCCTATGTTTGCCTCCCAGATCAATGTCTGCATCAATATCTGCATCTATTCCAATGTCTGCATCGCCTGAAAGCTTTCCACTTGGAAGATCAACAGAAACATCAGCGTCAGGTTTTGAGGCTTTAACATCAACATCCAAGGATTTGCCAACCCCACCAAGGTCTGGTCCTTCAAAACCAATTGAGCCCTTTGGTAGATTTACATCCACATCTGTACCTCCTTTGGGAGGTCAGTGCCACCAGAAACTCCAACACCAATGCCAGCACCACCCTTCACATCAGCATCTGGGCCGTCTATGTCACCTGATATTTCTGGTCCTTTCAATTTTCCACCAACACCTCCTTTCACTTTGGGCCTTTGATACCACCTTTCAGGCCAAAGCCTGCCTTGCCATCATCTGATTCAGAATCACTTGAGCTGCTGGTGTCATCTCCCTTTCCTTTAAAGCCAAAGCCAAATGACGGCATATGAAATCCCCCACCTGTTTTCTTTTTTTGTTTTTCTTCTTGCCCCCGCCTGACAAATTGACATCTATATCAGGGCCATCAACACTTCCTCCAATAGATGCATGTGGACCTTTACCTGTCATGTCAATGTCTGGTTTAGATGCTGTACCATCAACATCAACACCTACACCACCTCCAATCATTGGTCCTTCAACAGAAAATGAACCATCGCCTTCAGGCAGCTCCACTTTTCCTCTACCATCCCCACTAACATCCACATCTATGTCAGGACAGACACTTTTGGACCTTTCATGTCCCCTTCAATTTGAAGTCCTCCATCCAAGTCAACATCACCATGCCCTTGCCTTTACCCTTTGGTAAGTGTAATGAAGGCATGTTAATTGAGGGCATGTGGAATTTCCCCTTTTTCTTGCCAGATCCCTATGTTTGCCTCCAAGATCAGTGTTTGCATCAATATCTGCATCTATTCCAATGTCTGCATCGCCTGAAAGCTTTCCACTTGAAGATCAATAGAAACATCAGCATCAGGTTTTGAGGCTTTAACATCAACATCCAAGGATTTGCTAACCCCACCAAGATCTGGTCCTTCAATACCAATTGAGCCCTTCGGTAGCTTCATATCCACATCTGCACCTCCTTGGGGAGATCAATGCCACCAGAAACTCCAATACCAATGCCAGCACCACCCTTCACATCAGCATCTGGGCCTTCTATGTCACCTGACATTTCTGGTCCTTTCAATTTTCCACCAACACCTCCTTTCACTTTTGGGCCTTTGATACCACCTTTCATGCCAAAGCCTGCCTTGCCATCATCTGATTCAGAATCACTTGAGCTGCTGGTGTCATCTCCCTTTCCTTTAAAGCCAAAGCCAATGACGGCATGTGAAATCCCCCACCTGTTTTCTTTTTTGTTTTTTTCTTCTTTCCCCCGCCTGACAAATTGACATCTATATCAGGGCCATCAACACTTCCTCCAACAGATGCATGTGGACCTTTACCTGTCATGTCAATGTCTGGTTAGATGCTGTACCATCAACATCTACACCACCTCCAATCTTTGGTCCTTCAACAGAAATTGAGCACCTCCTTCAGGCAGCTCCACTTTTCCTCCTGCTCCCCCACTGACATCCACATCCACGTCAGGACCAGATACCTTTGGACCTTTGATGTCCCCTTCAATTTGAAGTCCTCCATCCAAGTCAAGATCGCCATGCCCCTTGCCCTTGCCCTTTGGAAAGTGTATGGAGGGCATGTTAATTGAGGGCATGTGAAATTTCCCCCTTTTCTTGCCTGATCCCTGTGTTGGCCTCCCAGACCAATGTCAGCATTAATATCTGCATCTACACCAATGTCGGCATCGCCTGAAAGCTTTCCACTTGGAAGATCAACAGAAACATCAGCATCAGGTTTTGAGGCTTTGACATCAACATCCAAGGATTTGCTAACCCCACCAAGATTTGTCCTTCAATACGATTGAGCCCTTTGGTAGCTTCATATCCAGATCTGCATCTCCTTTGGGGAGATCAATGCCACCAGAGACTCCAATACCTATGTCAGCACCACCCTTCACATCAGCATCTGGGCCTTCTATATCACCTGACATTTCTGGTCCTTTCAATTTTCCACCAACACCTCCTTTCACTTTCGGGCCTTTGATACCACCTTTCAAGCCAAAGCCTGCCTTGCCATCATCTGATTCAGAATCACTTGAGCTGCTGGTTCCATCTCCCTTTCCTTTAAAGCCAAAGCCAAATGACGGCATGTGAAATCCTCCACCTGCTTTCTTTTTTGGTTTTTCTTCTTGCCCCATCAACACTTCCTCCAATCGATGCACTTGGACCTTTACCTGACAATCAATGTCTGGTTTAAATGCTTTACCATCAGCATCAACTTCTACACCACCTCCAATCTTTGGGGCTTCAACAGAAATTGAGCCATCGCCTTCAGGAAGCTCCACTTTTCCTCTACCACCCCCACTAACATCCACATCTATGTCAGGACCAGACACTTTTGGACCTTTCATGTCCCTTCAATTTGAAGTCCTCCATCCAAGTCAACATCACCATGCCCTTTGCCTTTACCCTTTGGAAAGTGTAAGGAAGGCATGTTAATTGAGGGCATATGGAATTTCCCCTTTTTCTTGCCAGATCCCTATGTTTGCCTCCCAGATCAATGTCTGCATCAATATCTGCATCTATTCCAATGTCTGCATCGCCTGAAAGCTTTCCACTTGGAAGATCAATAGAAACATCAGCATCAGGTTTTGAGGCTTTAACATCAACATCCAAGGATTTGCTAAACCCCACCAAGATCTGGTACTTCATAATCAACAGAGCCCTTTGGTAGATTTGCATCCACATCTGCACCTCCTTTGGTGAGATCAATGCCACCAGAAACTCCAATACCAATGCCAGCACCACCCTTCACATCAACATCTGGGCCGTCTATGTCACCTGATATTTCTGGTCCTTTCAGTTTACCGCCAACACCTCTTTCACTTTTGGGCCTTTGATACCACCTTTCATGCCAAAGCCTCTCTTGCCATCATCAGATTCTGAATCACTAGAGCTGCTGGTTCCATCTCCTTTCCTTTAAAGCCGAAGCCAAATGATGGCATGTGAAATCCTCCACCTCCTTTCTTTTTTGTTTTTTTCTTCTTGCCCCCACTTGACAAATTGACATCTATATCAGGGCCATCAACACTTCCTCCAATAGACGCACCTGGAACTTCACCCGACAGGCCAATGTCTGGTTTAGATGCTTTAACATCATCAACACCTACACCACCTCCAATCTTTGGCCCTTCAACAGAAATTGAGCCATCTCCTTCGGCAGCTCCACTTTTCCTCCTGCTCCCCCACTGACATCCACATCCATGTCAGGACCAGACACCTTTGGACCTTTGATGTCCCCTTCAATCTGAAGGCCTCCATCCAAGTCAACATCGCCATGCCCTTGCCCTTACCCTTTGGAAAGTGTATGGAGGGCATGTTAATGGAGGGCATGTGGAATTTCCCCTTTTTCTTGCCAGATCCCCTATGTTTGCCTCCCAGATCATGTCTGCATCAATATTTGCATCTATTCCAATGTCTGCATCGCCTGAAAGCTTTCCACTTGGAAGATTTACAGAAACATCAGCATCAGTTTTGAGGCTTTAACATCAACATCCAAGGATTTGCTAACCCCACCAAGGTCTGGTCCTTCAAAACCAAGTGAGCCTTTGGTAGATTTACATCCACATCTGCACCTCCTTTGGGGAGGTCAGTGCCACCAGAAACTCCAACACCAATGCCAGCACCACCCTTCACATCAGCATCTGGGCCGTCTATGTCACCTGATATTCCTGGTCCTTTCAATTTCCACCAACATCTCCTTTCACTTTTGGGCCTTTGATACCACCTTTCAGGCCAAAGCCTGCCTTGCCATCATCTGATTCAGAATCACTTGAGCTGCTGGTGTCATCTCCCTTTCCTTTAAAGCCAAAGCCAATGACGGCATGTGAAACCCCCCACCTGTTTTCTTTTTCGTTTTTTCTTCTTGCCACGCCTGACAAATTGACATCTATATCAGGGCCATCAACACTTCCTCCAATAGACGCACCTGGAACTTTACCTGACAGGCCAATGTCTGGTTTAGATGCTTTACCATCATCATCAACACCTACACCACCTCCAATCTTTGGTCCTTCAACAGAAATCGAGCCACCTCCTTCAGGCAGCTCCACTTTTCCTCCTGCTCCCCCACTGACATCCACATCCATGTCAGGACCAGACACCTTTGGACCTTTGATGTCCCCTTCAATCTGAAGTCCTCCATCCAAGTCTACATCACCATGCCCCTTGCCTTTACCCTTTGGTAAATGTATGGAGGGCATGTTAATTGAGGGCAAGTGGAATTTCCCCTTTTTCTTGCCAGATCCCCTATGTTTGCCTCCAAGATCAATGTCTGCATCAATATCTGCATCTACTCCAATGTCTGCATCACTGAAAGCTTTCCACTTGGAAGATCAATAGAAACATCAGCATCAGGTTTTGAGGCTTTTACATCAACATCCAAGGATTTGCTAACCCCACCAAGATCTGGTCCTTCATAATCAACAGAGCCCTTTGGTAGATTTGCATCCACATCTGCACCTCCTTTGGGAGATCAATGCCACCAGAAACTCCAATACCAATGCCAGCACCACCCTTCACATCAGCATCTGGGCCGTCTGTATCACCTGAAATTTCTGGTCCTTTCAGTTTACCGCCCACACCTCTTTCACTTTTGGGCCTTTGATACCACCTTTCAGGCCAAAGCCTCTCTTGCCATCATCAGATTCTGAATCACTAGAGCTGCTCCCATCTCCTCTTCCTTTTAAGCCGAAGCCAAGTGAGGCATCTCCCTCAGGCAAATCTACTTTTCCCCCACCACTGCCTCCAAAATCCACATTTATGTCAGGACCAGACAGCTTTGGACCTTTCAAGTTTCCTCCAACGTCCAGGTCTCCACCAAAGCTAGCATCACCATGTCCTTTTTCAGCAACTCCACCTGAAATTGCAACATCTGCATCACCTTTTATATCAACCTCTGGAAGATCTCCTGACACTTTCCATGCTTGTGCTTTGGAGGAGAAAATCCAAAATTGAATGATGGAAAATGAAATCCGCCCCCCGTTTTCTTTTTTGACCCTTTTCCTTTGCTATCAAGAGACAGATTAGCGTCTGCTCCAAGATCCCCTTTTACCTCAGGAGCATTCACATCAACATCTGGCAAATTTGCATCACCGCTCACACTAATGTCTCCACCTGCTCCAACCTTCGCATCCAGTCTTGACCGTCAATGTCAACTTCAGCTTTACCCTTGCCCTTCCACTTGGGTAAGCTTGGAGGTTAAAACTTGGTAGATGGAATTTTTTACTTTTCCAGATGCCTTTCCATTTAAGCTCAGGTCTGCCACTGGTGGATCAACACCAAGAGAACCAGACACGTCACCTCCTGCAGACAACTTGCCACTTGGAACATCAACATCAATACCTGCACTAGGCTTTGGGGTTTCAACCTCAACATCAACTGATTTTTGTACGCCTCCCAGGTCAGGTCCTTGCAAATCAATACTCCCACCTTTAACCCAAATGCTCCTTCTGGTCCTTTGACATTTCCATCAACTACAAGTGTTCCATCAAGATCTGGATCATCAATTGACATTTTGCCCTTTTGAACATTTACATCTGCACCAACATCTGGGGACTGATGCCACCCAACCCTGAAGCTCCTCCAAATGAGCCTCCAATTCCTGCTCTAATATCACCTTTAGGCAAACCCACATCCACTCCTGGTGCTCCAACTTTAATATCAACATCTGTGTCTGGTTTCTCCACATCAACACCTGCACTGGCATTGATATCCACATCTGGAACATCAGATTTTGGCACCTTTCCTCCAAAGTTAAAAGATGGCAAACCAAACTGGAAACCCTTCTTTTTGCCTGATCCTTTTCCCTCATACTCTGGTGAATCAACATCAAGCGACCCAGACATGCCAACTGATCCCTTGGGCAATTTTACTCTGGCCTCAGAATCACCTCCAATACCAGGGGCATCAACATCAACTGAACCCAATTTGCTTCCAGAGGGTCCTTTAACATCACTTTGTACATTTGGGCCTTGGCCTTGACATCAATGTCTGCATCTCCAACAACGTCAAAGTCAGAGTTAACACTCAATCTTCCCTCTGGTCCTTCACAGAAACATTGCCTTTTGCTTTGGCATCACCCGACCCAAATGACGGAAATCTGAACTTTGGAAGTCTGAAGTGGAAACCTCCCTTGTCCTTTTTGCTGCCGAGATCAAGTTTTGCATCTGGCACATCTGCACTAACATCAATACTACCCGATGGAGCAGGAACATCAATGTCAGGGCTGGAAATCCCACCCTTTGGACCACTACCACTGACACCAATACCACCGCCAAAACTTGCGCTTTCACGTCACCTCCAATGCCCACAGAGGCATCTGGTACATTCAATCCTCTAATGTTTGTGTCATCACCGATGTTAAGATCAGGTCCAGATATACCTCCATTGACACCAAGTCCACTTTCACCACCACCACCACCACCAAAGCTGGGGGCGTTCACATCATCAACATTAAGTGAAGCATCTGGTATTTTCCCTTTTCCTCCAATGTTTCCTATACCGCCAAAGCTTGGGGGTGAAACATCAACATCAGGTCCAGATATACCTCCTTTGGCACCAAATCCAATGTCACCACCAACACCACCACCAAATCTGGGGGCTTTCACATCACCACCAACATCCAGTGAAGCATCTGGTACTTCCCCTTTTCCTCCTATGTCTCCTTTGCCGCCAATGGTTGGGGGTGATACATCAACATCAGGCCCAGATATACCTCCTTTGGCAGCAAATCCAATGTCACCACCAACACCACCACCAAAGCTGGGGGCATCACATCACCAACATCCAGTGAAGCATCTGGTACATTCACTTTTCCTCCAATGTTTCCTTTGCCGCAATGGTTGGGGGTGATACATCACATCAGGTCCAGATATACCTCCTTTGACACCAAGTCCAATGTGACCACCAACACCACCACCAAAGCTGGGGGCTTTCACATCATCAACATCCAGTGAGGCATCTGGAACATTCACTTTACCGCCAAAGTTTGGAGCAGATACATCAACATCAGGTCCAGAAATACCTCTTTCATGGCCACATCACTGTCACCACTGAAACACCACCAATGCCAGGAACTTTAACATCTCCACAATACCCACTGAAGCATCCGTACATTCCCTCTTTCTCCAATGTGTGCATCACCACCAATTTGTGGACCGGATAGATCGACATCAGTAATGAAGTATCTCCTTTCATGCCGAGTCCCCCACTTCTGCCAAAACCACTTCCGATGCTTCCACCAATGCTGGGAGCTTAATATCTCCCCTTACACCAGGTGATGCATATGGAACATTCACTCCTCCATCAATATCTGCATTGACACCATTTTTTGGACTGGAAACATCTGGTCCTGCAAGATCTCCTTTGGTGCCAAGTTCACCATCCCATACACACCGCCACCAAATTTAAAATCTGGCTTTTTTGTTTTAACATAGTGTCAACATCAGCTTTCACCACAACATCTGGAGCTTCAACATCAAATCCAACAACTCCTCCCAGATCAGCATTTGCAAACTTCTACTCCTGCATCAGTGCTGCCATTTATTTTTGGCTTTCCAAGCTTGGGCAACTTGAACCTTCCTCCCTTCTTTCCTTTAGATGGAGAACCTTTGCCACTTGCACCAATGTTGAAATTTGCGCCTCCCTCTGGAAACCCGCTGCTATTTGCTGATGTGTCTAGGTTGGCATCCACATCACCTCTTACATCAGCTCCTGGAGATTCAACAGATAAATTTCCTTTAGGAAGATTTATCTCTTGTTTGAGTTTTTTGGTCTCATCATCAGAATCTGAATCAGATGAATCTCCAGTGAAGAACTTGGCTATCCCGGCGAAGAAACCACCTTTCTTTGGAGAATGTACTTTTGCTTCTGGCATATCAGCTTTGACATTTACATTAGCTGAAGGGAGTGAAGCATTTACATCAACATCAGCACCACCTGAAGAACCAGCTGAGGTGTTTCTACTGCAGGTATGTCGATATCCATGTCTGCTCCTCCTCCTGCAGAAAGTGATGGTGTTTTCACTTTAACTCCTGCTTCTTGATTTTTCTTCCTCCTGTGTTTCTGTCCTTTGTGTCCATTGATGCCAGCTGCTACATCTATGCCTCCACCAGTCTCTGCTCCCCTTGGAAGTTCAACATCCAACTCCGCCTCAACAGGAGTTCTTTTTCTGAACTTAGGGAAAGATGATCGCTTTTTGTGTTTATTTCCATTCACGCTCAGTTTCACATCTGGTGCAGACACATCAAACTTGCACCTGCAGAGGGCATATCCCCACTTACGCCAACACCTGCAGATGCTCCAGACGGAATGTTGGCCTGAAAAA